GAATGATCTCAACAGATTTATCCTTTAGCCATTTGGATTGGTGTTAGGTTGATAATCTATTAATTCTATTCTATTGATTTTAAAAAAGGGAAGAATCTGTTGGGACCTCTGGAATCATGATATATCACTGTAACTTCTTTTTGTAATTATTTGGTTACTGCATTTTTTTAAAAAAAATTAATTCACTGCTGGTTGCCCAGAGTTGTTGTAGCAGGATGGGCAGCCATAGAATTGTTTAAATAGGTAAATAAGCTAGCTAGCTTGCTTGGGAAAATTGCCTATAGAGTTCCCTTAGAAATGCCCTTTCTAAGATAAAATTAATACCCTTTAACTTTTTTAACAAAAAAAAGTGTTGCTTTTGCATTGGGGGATGTTTGGAAGGTAGCCTTCAATTCCTCCTATGCATGAAAGAACTGGGTAATGTTTGAAGAAAACCTGAAAGCCTCTCTTCCTTATTTTTAGCAGATTAAAAGAAAATCTGTTTTTCCTCTCTTGCTTCCCCCCCACCCCCTTCCTAGAAGATTCATTGAAACAATCCTACTCTGGCATCTAGTTGCCAAGGATATTCCAGGCAGAGGCTCCCTAGGGAAAAAGAGTCTTCCAAATTGGCAAGACGGTAGCTGGAATATTATGAAGCGAACCTTGCCTCTCTCGTACATGTATCTATATTGCATGGAAATGTAAAATGGATGAAGCTTTCATTGCATGTTCGCCCTGCCACCTTGCTGATATTGACTCCTCCCTGTGGAAGCCCATGATTCCAGGGAGTGTGAGCAACTCTAGTTTATTTTATTTATTTAGTTTGTAAAGCATGTATGAGAAAGCAAGTAGAAGTATGAACATAACATATAAACATATAAGTATAAACAGGTATAAGTGTATACATAATAAATGAGTATGAATAAATGGGAACATTAGGACGGGGACGGTAGTCACGCTGGTGCGCTTATGCATGCCCCCTTAGGAATGGAATGAGGTCCATGGTAGACAGCTTAAGGTTAACGTTTTGGGGGTTTGAGGATGTAACAACAGAGTCAGGTAGTGAGTTCCAGGCATTGACCACTCTGTTGCTGAAGTCGTATTTTCTGCAATCGAGTTTGGAGCAGTTTACTTTGAGTTTGTATCTATTGTTTGCCTATGTGTTATTGTGGTTGAAGCTGAAGTAGTCATTGACAGGATGTTGTACCAGACAATTTTGCATACTAAGTGGACTGGAAAAAGGCAGAGAAAGGTATGCATTTTTTTTTTCAAATAAAAAGCTAGTGTATTTGTACTTCTTTGCACCTCATCTGGCAATTAACAATCATTTTCCTCTGAGAATTTATTCTTTGACTGAAGAAAAGTACACTCCTACTGTCTGGAACAGTTTGTCTGCTTTTACTGACAGCTTCAGGAAGGTTGCACACAAAGGGCTGAGATATGAACTGGGCATTGACTCAGCCTGCCAAATCCATCCTGGTGACCATTGTCACTTCCACATTTTTCTTTTCCCCTCTTAGGCTGATTTGTTTTTTCACTTCTCCTCTAGACAGGATCAAAAACTGAGATTGCCTTGACTTACTGTATTGGAACAAAAGAGGGAGAGCCCTTTCAAATCTCACTTTAAGCACGACTTACCTTGGGGAATATGAGTAGAAATATTGAGTAGTGCAGGATTGTAGATTGTTAGATAGCTGAGCTCATTTATTTGCACTGGGCCATACACCCGCAACATTTACAAAACTTCCAATTAATTGAATCTGTTTTGAAAATAGGATTGCCAGACACCTGAACAGGTAAAGGAGGACACAAACAATTTGAAAGGAGACTAAATGGAGACAAAGGAGGACACACATTTTAACAACAACAACAACAACAAAACTGTTGGGAAATTATCAGATAGGCTGGAAGGTGGGGTCAAGTGTGGGCTTAGCTTAGAGTTATTGTGCAAGAAGAATACATTAAGTTTGACCTCCTACAAGATCTATGAGGCTTTATCTGGTCATTCCCAAGGGAAGGCTAGCAGTCTGGGGAGATTCTTGTAATCTAGGTAGAGAATAGTAAAGTTGCTTGCTTTAGCTATTTATGAGTAGCTCTGGTTGCTTGCATCTGACAAAAAGTGAAAACAAATATACTTAGGTCTTTGTAGGAGAAGGCAAGGCAGAGCCTGGGGGTGGAATTCAAGAGGGGCTGAACTTGGACCTCTTGTGAGAAAGTAATGACTCCAGGTTGATTCCTCTCTTGACTCTGTCCCTCTGGCCTCTGCTTCTCCTCTTCCTATAGCCTTCATATATATGAAATTACTTCTTCCAGAATCAGGAAAACTGATTTTTCAATTGCAATATTTTTTCAACAAATTTATTTTCAAGAACATATGCTTGTGATAACATATGCCTGCCGGATGTAGAATTTTAGCACAATAAGGAGGACATTTTTTTTTTTTTTTTTGTAGGATGTTTGGTAACCATAGCTGAGAATAACTCTTCTGGCCCTAAGGATTCCTTCCCAAACAGTTCGCTCTTCCTTCAAGTATCTTGAAAATGTGCTAATGAAGAAACAGCGTCAATTAATCTGGGATCACCATTGCATAGTGTGGTACAGTTTTTTGGCAGCTGAAGGCCACATCTGCGGATTCAGTGGAAGTCCAGGACCACAACAAGTGAAACTGGAAGAGAGTTCTGAGGGCCACAAAAGAGGCCTTTGAGACTGCACTAAAGATTACGCTTAGTAGTGAATATAGAGCAGCCTTCTCGTGCTCATAAATATTGCATTCCAAACAGACAGAATGAGATAAAAGCTTCTCTCCAGCATGCCATAGACCAAATTTGGGTAAATCCACAATTCTGTTAGATGTTTTTTTTTTTTTTTTAAAGCCTAATGTCTTCTGCAGAAGTGTACTTCGTTCTACAAGACAGAAAGTGAGGCGTGCTGTTCCCAGGAGAAGAGAGCTGAGCTGAAGTGAACCGAGGCCATTTTTCTGAAGGAAGCCAGGCAATTTTGCTTCAGGGCATTGCTTTTGTTAAGTCCCCTTGTGCTTTTGGAGGATGAAAGCAGGCTGAGATGCTTCCAAGGGAGAACAACCTGTTGAATAGAAACTCAGGCGGCTGAAGAAATGTGCTATTGCTAGACAGAAAAAAGAGATAGTTCCATCATCTCGTAAATAAAGCATGTTCCACAGGCCTACAGTGAAGGCTGAACCCTTTCCTCAGTGTAATCTAGCTGCAAAGGTCATATGGAAAATCCTGAAGCCAATCCTCTTGCAGATGCTCTGCAGCCTGCTGGGAAGAAGGCCAACTTCCTCATCCACAACTGCCACCCAGATTTAATTAGTAAAACTATTGCCCCCCACCCCACCCCAGACAAACAGGAATTTTCCCATATTAAAATTATTTCTCCGTTTCTTGACTTAAATACACTATGGCAGTGGTGGCTAACCTTTTTGGGCTCCTGTACCAAAAATTGTGCATGCACCAGTGCGCGCACACTTGCGTGTCAGTACCCAGAATGCAATACGTGCCCCCTCCCCATCCCCCCCGCACATGTGTGTGCAATTCCCCCCACCCCCTTACCTGTACTGCGCCTCACAGCTGAATTTTTCGGCTGGTTTGAGGCCTTTTTTGGCCTCTGCAAGGCTTTTCAGGACGAATTATAGGCCCATTTCATCACTTCCGGTATTACAGGAAGTGAAGAAACAGGCCTATAATTTGACCTGAAAAGCCTTGCACAGGCTTTTTCCAAGCCTCTGGGAGGCCAAAAAAGGCCTCAAACCAACTGAAAAAAATCAGCTGTGAGGCATGCACAAGCGCACTGAGGTAAGTTTGCCTGCAGCTCGCGTGCCAGCACAAATGGCTCTGCGTGCCACAGGTTCGCCATCACAGCACTATGGGATTATATATGTGAGATATCAAAAGGTTATTTGGGATTATTTATTCTGCCAGAGCTGAATCCAGGTGGCATATTCTTATTCCAGATGTACCCACTGTTTTTTAAGTCACAAATTGGGAGATAGGAAATGTAGCTGTTGCAGTGTTTCTTTGCCATGGTTGTGGAAGTCCTTGGCAGAGAGACTGCACTTGGCCAAATAGTTAGGAAATACAGTGAATTTTGGAACTCATGTTTCAACTCAGAGTGTTAAACCCAACGATGTTCATTTTGTGTGACAGAAAAAGAGCTACTGTCTCAGCCTTGTATCTGCTCTAATTCTACCAAAAGTACAACAATGTACAGCAAGAGTCTGTTTTGTCTAGTGGTTAAGGCACCAAGCTAGAAAGCGAGAGACTTGTGAGTTCAAGTCCTGCCTTAGCCTTGAAAGCCATCTTGGGGCCAGTCATTCTCTCTCAGCCCAACCCACTTCACAGGGTGTTGTGGAAAAAAATAGGAAGAGGAAGGTGTGTTGAATAAGTTTGAGTTATTTGCAAAAATAATAAAGGCAGGATATAAATAAATTGTTTTTTTTTTCCTGCCCTGAAAAATAAAGGCATAACTTTCATGAGCATAGGTGTGGTTTGGAATAGGAATTAGCTATATCCTACCTCCTGTTACATAGGCGTGAGCATTCTATAACCCACGGTCATGGACTGATACTCCACTGAATTTCATTGCATTTCAAGAAAATTGCAAGAATATGCCTGGTTAAAGTTCTTTTCCTTCCTAGTCTTTGGAATAGGGGAAAGAAGAGAGTATAAAAGAAAGGTTAATTGGAAATGTCTAGGGTGACTAGCTGTGATGGGCAGAAGGAATACTCTGGAGAAGTAGGAGGAAGAGCTTCAACCAAGACAAGAGTCAGATAAAATTTTGAGTCTGGAGCAGAAATGAAATTTGAGAAAGCATCTCAGCTAAGACTCTGTAGAGATTCTCAGTCATCCAGGTCGTGGTTGTCCCAGAGGTGCTTTTTCAGGAAGCAACTGGACTTTCTTGTTTTTTCTTCAAAAGACCTACCCTATGTCCAAGTAATAGATCCATATCAAGCAAAACTCCAAGACAAGCAGATTCCTCAAAGAATGGCTTTATTGAAAATATCATATTGGCACATATCTGATGAAAACCGACTGAAAAGTCCCACGTTTTTTCACCTAATTAAAAGTCAAACTTTTTCTCACAACCACAAATAATCAGTCACATGATCCAATCAGGGTGCTGTCTGAGGGTCTGGTGATATCACTCCTTCCTCAGACCAGGTGAGAGAAAGTCCCTGGTTCCCAAGATAAAGTATTTTATTTTGACTACACAACCCCAGCTATCTCTAATCCACCCTCCCTATCCCTCAGCTCCAGTGTGGCAGCACTGAAGTTCCAAGATGGCTTTCTCCAGGCCAGCTTCAGGGTTGACATGCAGACATAATTTTCATGCAGATAAAGGGAGAGTGGGGAAGTACATTCAGATTTGCAAGGTTCTGTTACTCTAACCTTCTAATAAAAGTAGCATTAGCATGCATGACTTTGGTTTTCTAGTCTGGTCTACTTTGAAGGGCTGAAACTAGCATCTCTGTGGGATCCAGCTGAAACTCTCTTAGTAGCTTGCTAAGCTTCCATTGGAGGGACACGGCTCAGTGGCTAAGACACTGAGCTTGTCGATCAAAAGGTCGACAGTTCAGCGGTTCAAATCCCTAGTGCTACGTAACGGTGTGAGCTCCCATTACTTGTCCCAGCTTCTGCCAACCTAGAAGTTTAAAAGCATGTAAAAATGCAAGTAGAAAAATAGGGACCACTTTGGTGGGAAAGTAACAGTGTTCCGTGCACCTTCGGCGTTTAGTTGTGCCAGCCACATGACCACGGAGACATCTTTGGTCAGCGCTGGCTCTTCGGCTTTGAAACAGAGATGAGCACCATCCCCTAGAGTCGGGAATGACTAGTACATATGTGCGAGGGGAACCTTTACTTTTACCTTTAAGCATCCATTGAGGGAATGCAACACTCAGCAGAAAAAAAAGAGTGCTAATTCCTGTTCTTTCCATACCATCTATGTGCTTCTCTATGTGTGTGTTTGTTTCTGAGTATCACCAGGTTTTGTGGACCCAGTAATATAGAAATTTAATTAGACTTTAGGGACTCAGTAAACAAGACTTTGGGGAGTCAAACTAAGACATGCTGACAGGATCCCCTTTTGCTGCAAGGTGCAGTAAGGAGGGGATAAAGAGACAAGCTTCCTTTGCTGCAATTTCTGTACTGTAGTTGTTTTCTGGAATGTTTCATGATATGCCATACATATAGAAGTAAAGTGAAAATGGTGTTTTATTATGATATTTAAGACTTGGCATTAAAGTAACTGTTGATTAGGCAGGAAATAGGGCATCAATTACCCTTGGAAGATCTTCATCTTCAATGATAACATTCAGAAAACTTATAAGATCTGTCCGTCCATCCATCCATCAAATTTCTGTAGCCGTCCATCTTAGTCAATAATTCTGGGCAGCTTACAATTAAAAAAAATATTATAGATAAAATACTTAAAACATTTTAAAACAATGGAAGCATCCAAATTAAGTATACATAGCAGCCAAGATATTTGGCCATCTAATTTAGAAAGGATGAAGGAGTTGAATGGAGAATGTATCTGGAATTTGTGCAGGCAACAGTTGTTATCATTATGGTTTCTATTGATACCAGACTGTACATTATATGGATATTTAATTTTTGTTGGCATGTTATCTTATATAGATTTTGGAAGGTGGTCAGAATCTTTCAATTGAAGTGGCATAGAAGTACCTGTAAGGACCACACAAACTGAAATATACCTCCTTGGTCCCAAAGGTGCTTTTCCAAAAGGCAACTGAACTTTCTTGGTTTTCTTTCCTTGAAAAAAAATTCAGAGAACTGAAGAAACTTGAATGAAAAGCTAAATATTTTCAAGGTTAAAAACCAAGAAAGTCCAGTTGCCTTTGGGAAAAAGCCCCTTTGAGACAACCATGACCTGGATGATTGAGAATCCCCATAGACATATCTTCTTTGTATTTACTTTCCATATTTTGTGCCCTGATTCTTGGAATGTATTGTTTCTTTTGACTAGTCTGGAATTTTGTAATTAATTGTTATATCTTCCAATTCACATAGGAGGCTGTTTCTGTCAACATGCTGTGAATTGTTAGCTATGGAAATGTTTTCTCTAAAAGAATAAAAAATGAGGGGAAAATATAATTTGTGTAACAATGGTCAGACCAGTGGGCTCAGTTAGTTTTTATTATAATATTTTAGTTCTCTCTTGTCGCACGAACAGATCAAAATGACTTTTGCTGTACAATAAGCCATTCCAGACCCAAAGTTTGACATTTGTTGATAACATGGCCAAGGTATTTCTCTCTGCTTCTGTTCTTTCATCTTCATGAGAGAAAAAAGTTTTGACACTATGAACAGTTTGTCCTGGAAAATCCCATCATATGTTGTACATGGAGAGCTACAGTGGAGGTGATGTTTTTACTATGGCACTTAACATTTGGCACTAAGTAGGAGTTGATTAGCCAGGAAATAGACAATTAATTTGAGCGAATTACAATGGGATTAACAGTGGATGTAGTTAGTGTGATAAGTGGAACATGATACCGCTGCCTATTCAAGGAAGAGAAATGACACAGGCTGTTCCAAGTATTTTTATAAATGTTTTCTTATTCTCCTGAGAAAGTGAGACCAATCTTTTAATAGAATAAATATTTTGTCATTTTAAATTTAACCTTCTACAGTTGCTTGGAGAAGTCAAAATTTATTGTGGAAAGTAATACTCATTATCAAGAAGGAAAATGTATTGATATGAAAATGCTAAAAGAGGAATAAAATTCAAAGATGCAACGCAAAAGATAAAGAAACCTCTAGAATCTTTCCCCCCATAAGGTGCCAAAGATGGGGTAGAAATTTTTGTTTAGTATTCTATTCATATGGTATGATTCTCATGTCATGCCATTTTCAAATTTGGCTTTTATCTTAGAACAAGTAATTTGATCTATCTGGATTCTCTTCATTTTGATTTCAGATATGTAGAAGCTTCTAAAGGAGAAAGTTTCTGTTATATTCCCGATCGGAAGGAAGACGCTAGGTTCAGTGACTTCAGCTTTTTATTTTATTTAAGATCGGCTTGGCTTGGCTCGGGCGCGCGGCGGCTTATATGGATCTAGCCGGCCGAGCTGCGGCCAATGACACCGCTTTAAATCTCCCGCGATCAGTTTCCTCCAATCGCGGGAGATTCTCAGCGGGCCAATCGGCGAGGCTCGCCCGGCCAATCGGGTCGCCACGCGCCTTGGCCAATCAGGAACGGGTATTTACAAGAATGCAAATGTACAGTACAGAACACCCCTCCCCTCTTGGTATGGTCCTACGTAACGTAGTCCCGTAAGTAGGCGGGGCTCCGTACTTGCCTACTGGACCTGCGCAGGTTAGTTGTTGCTTGTTCGTCGGATGGTTCGGTCGGGTTCCGTGTCGCTCCTGGTCTCCTCGATGGAACCACCTGGAATGGTGAGCCGGGCCTCCCGCTGCAGCTCCCTCCCGGTCTACCTGGGTTGGTTGAGCTGCGGCCTTCGATGCTCCTGCTCGGTCTTTCCGGGCTGGTTGAGCTGGCTTGGCTGTTTCTTATTAGTGAGGCTTCGGGTCGTTCCTCTGCTTCTGGCTCAGCAGGTGAGTATTCCTGGTTTCTTTTTTGTTGGGGTTGGTTTTCGGGGCCGGGGTCTTCCCTCCCCTCTTGGTTGGTTCCTTTCTCTGTGTGGGCTTGCGTGTCGGTTGTATTTCCCGTGTTGGTTCTTGATCTTAATTGGTCGATATGTCGTTTCCATGCTCGTCCGTCCGTTGTTTGCAGTCGGTATGAGCGGGGACCTGTCACCTGGGTTATGGTTGCTGGTACCCAGAGGGGGTCCCCCGTGAGGTTCCTTGCGTATACCGTGTCGCCCGGTATGAATGCCCGGTACTTGCTGGATGAGTCGGGGTTTTTTTCTGGGTTGTATGTGGGGTGCAGTCTGTCTAGTGGGGATCTTAATTTCCTCCCCATTAGTAGCTCTGCTGGGCTTTTATTGGTTGTCGTGTTGGGTGTTATGTGCTGTATGAATAGCATTTTATTAATTTTTTCCTGTATCTCCCCGGTTGCTATTTTTTGAATTGTTTTTTTTGTAAATTGTACCATTCGTTCCACCCTCCCGTTCGCCGCCGGATGTGCCGGCGCCGTCAGTGCATGTCGTATTCCCCGTTCTGCCAGGAATTTTTCGAATTCTAGTGAGGTGAATTGGGGCCCGTTATCGAAGACGATGACGTCTGGGAGGCCGTGGGTTGAAAATAGTCTATTTAGTTCTTTGGTGACGGCCTTTGTGGTGGTGGTTCTCATGTTGCTTACCTCCAGCCAGTTGGAGTAAGCATCTACCGTGATGAGGAAGGTGTGCCCCTTTGTAGGTCCGGCGAAGTCTATATGAATCCTGGACCATGGGCCCCTGGGGGTCTCCCATTCCCTGATTGGGGCGGCGGGGGGGTTTGGTCTGGATTCTTGGCATGGTCTGCATGTTGCCACCCAAGCCTCGATTTGTTTGTCCATCCCTGGCCACCAGGCGTAACTCCTGGCCAGGGCTTTAGTCCTAACGATGCCTGGGTGTCCCTCATGCAATAGTTCCAAGACCCTTTTTTGCAGTTTCTCCGGAATAACAACCCTGTCCCCCCCATAGTAAGCAACCTTTTTGTATTGACAGTTCTGTTTGTCGGTTCCGAAATGCCCTAAATTGTCCGTCGTTTTCTGTTTCCGGCCACCCTTTTTCTACCCAATGCAAAACCCACGCCAGACTTTTGTCTTTATTGGTTTCCTGGGCAATGTCTGACGCGGTCACAGGGAGATTGGGTAGAGTTTCTATGCTGAGGGTGGATGTTGTGGGGGCTGGGTCAGCGTCCATGTCGGGCAATGGTGTGTGGCTCAAAGTGTCTGCGTGAGCAATAGTCTTACCGGGTCGGTGATTTAACCGGTAGCTGTAGGCGGCCAGGAATTCGGACCACCTGGTCATTCTCGGGGATAGAATGTTCAGTGTGGCCCTGTCTCCTGCCAGGATTCCCAACAGCGGTTTGTGGTCGGTGATAATGGTGAAGGTTCTGCCATAAAGGTACTCGTGGAAACTTTTTACGGCGGCGACGATTGCCAGGGCCTCTTTATCCAGTTGACTGTAATTCCTTTCTGGTCTGGAGAGAGTCCTTGAGAAAAAGGCGATGGGTGCCTCTTTCCCGTCTGGGAGAATGTGGCTGAGGACAGCTCCGACGCCGAAGGGTGATGCGTTGCATGTGACCACTAGTGGCAGGGTGTCGCTGTATTGAATGAGGACAGCGTCTGATGTGAGTAGGTCTTTTGTCCGGCTGAATACGATTTCTTCTTGCTTCCCCCAGTTCCAAACGGCCGTTTTGTCGAGCAGCCTATGCAAAGGCTCCGCTACCGTCACCTTCTGGGGCAGGAAAACATTATAGAAGTTAATCAGCCCGAGGAATGCCTGCAGTTCGGTTTTATTTTTTGGTTTGGGGGCTTCTTTGATGGCCCTGATTTTTTTTCCGGTGGGGTGGATCCCATGCTGGTCTAGGAGGTACCCCAGGAATTCGACTTTCTCGGTGTGGAGCTGGCATTTTTCTTTTTTGACTTTCAGCCCCGCGTCTTTGAATTTTTGTAGTACCTCCCTCAGGCGGCTTTCCAATTGCTTTGTGTTTGCCGCGGATACCAGCACATCATCAAAATAGGGCACTACCCCCTTGATGCCCTGGAGTAACCTTTCCATGAGGCTCTGGAAAATTCCCGGTGCCACGCTGACTCCGAACTGGAGTCTCTTGCAGCGAAAGGCTCCCCGGTGTGTCACTATGGTTTGCGCCTCAGCGGTTTCTTCGTCGACCGGCAGTTGCTGATAGGCTTGTGCCAGGTCGAGTTTTGTGAAGACCTTGCCCCCCCCTAGTGAATGCAGCAAGTGCTGCACTACCGGGACGGGGTAGGCGCTTTGCTGTAATGCGCAGTTGAGGGTGGCCTTATAGTCCCCACAAATTCTCACCGACCCATCGGGCTTGACCGGGGTGACTATGGGTGTCTCCCATCTAGCGTGGTCGATCGGTTCTAGCACTCCCTGTTTGATGAGTTTGTCTATTTGCTCATCGAACTTGGGTCTGAGTGCGAAAGGTACCCGCCGCGGCTTAAGGCGGATTGGGGGAATGCTGGGGTCTAGGCTGAAGGAAATCGGGGTCCCACGGTACTTGCCTAGGCTGCCGTCGAAGACCTCTTGGAAATCCCTCGCGAGTTGTTCCTCCCAATTTGCGTCGGTGATGAGGTCGATGCCGGTCACCCCGATTCTGAGCGGCGCAAACCACTGTAGTCCCAAGAGGCTGGGTCGGTCTCGGTCCACGATTGTTAATGGGAGTGTTTCAGTTCGCCCTTTGAAATTTACTTTGAATTGTCCGGTTCCAACTACAGGGATGCGGTTCCCTTGGTAGTCTTTTAAGATTAGCCTTTCTTTCGGATGTTGGGCACCAGGCGCTTGATTTCCCGCCATGCAACCATGGAGAGGTAGGATCCGGAATCCACCTCCATTTTGCATGGCTGGCCCTCGATGCCCACTTCCACGTATACCTTTCGGGTGTCCCAGCTAGAAGAATGGCCGATGATGACCGTCTGATGGGTTTCTTCCCTCTGCCGGTCCTCGCCGCCTCGTCGGGTCTGTCCGTCTCGGTTCCACCGGTTCTCGGTTGGGCGGTCTCTGTTCCGTGGGGAGGTGCTGTCTCGCCTTTGGCTGCTGCCGTTTGGTCGTCGAGGACTGTAGTTCCGTTTGAACCGGCAGACTCGAGCGATGTGTCCCCTTTTATCGCAGTGGCGGCAGATTGCATCAAAGAAACGGCAATCTGCTCGCGGATGGTCACCCCCGCACCCGGCGCATTGCAGCCCCGACTTACAACTCCGCCGCTCGCGCCGGTCCCGGTCTGTCTGGAGTCGGTGGATGTCTTCCTCTCCGTCGGTGGTGTCGGAGAGGGAGTCGAGGGTGGTGGTGGTCGCCCGGCGGGGCGTCTCGGGAACGGTCTCTGGTGTCTGGGTTGCTTCCGTGGTTACGGGCCGATCTGTCCCGTCGGTTCGCCGCATTCTGGCTGCGGATTTCCAGGTTGCCTCGGCGGCAGCGGCCTCGGCAAGGGCGTCTGCGAGGGAGATGTCGCCCCGTGCCATTAATCGGCTCTGCAGGATGGGGTGTTTGAGCCCGAGGACGACGCGGTCTCGTAACGCCTCGTCCATGACTGTGAACCCGCACATGCCCCCCAGGTCTCGTAGGTCAGCTACGAAATCACTGATACTCTCACCCTCCTTCTGATTCCTGCGATAGAATTCATGCCGCCTGATGAGGGTGGGCACGGCGGGGGCATAGTGGTTCCGCAACAGAGGTTCGAGGTCGGCCCAATCCATCGCCTTCACGTCCTCGGGCTTCGCAAGGGCTTTTGCCATTTTGAACACTGCGGGCCCGCAGTGTGTCAGGAAAACGGCCCTTTTCTTTTGTCCATTGGCGTCCTTGAGGTTGCTACTTTCTAGGAACATCAGGAATCGATCTATGTATGATTCCCAGTCCTCAGTAGCTTGGTTGAAAGGGGTGGGTGGTGCGATGTTGGCCATCTTTGCTGGATGCCTCGATCTTGGTGCCACGTGGTGGTGGTGGGGATCAGTTCCGAAATCCCACCTTCGTCGCCAGTGTTATATTCCCGATCGGAAGGAAGACGCTAGGTTCAGTGACTTCAGCTCTTTATTTTATTTAAGATCAGCTTGGCTTGGCTCGGGTGCGCGGCGGCTTATATGGATCTAGCCGGCCGAGCCGCGGCCAATGACACCGCTTTAAATCTCCTGCGATCGGTTTCCTCCAATCGCGGGAGATTCTCAGCGGGCCAATCGGCGAGGCTCGCCCGGCCAATCGGGTCGCCGCGCGCCTTGGCCAATCAGGAACGGGTATTTACAAGAATGCAAATGTACAGTACAGAACAGTTTCCTCCCTTGAAATGCTGATGCATTTCTAGTTTAAATGTTCAGTTGTGTGAAGGGGTGGGATTAAAAAATCCCAGCAACTGGTTCGCTGCCCAGATGGTTCAACTACCAGTTTGGTGAACCAGATGTAAATTTAACATCTGGTTTTCCCGAACTGGTCCGAACCAGATGAATCCCACCTCTGGTTGTGTGTCTGCATTCACTTTTTCATGTTCATTGTTGAAATTCAGGCAAACGAGAATACCACAATTGGTATTGAATGGATTTGAATTTCTTAAATTTCTGGAATAATCTCTGAAATAATTTTATGGGAGGTTCTTTGGTTCTTCTTTGCGTATGACATCAGAGTGTTTTACAGGTAGTCCTCGACTTACAATCATTTGTTTAGTCACCGTTCAAAGTTACAACTGTGGCATTAAAATAATACCTTATGACCATTGCAGGATCCTCGGAGTCGCGTGGTCAAAATTCAGATGTTTGGCAACTTACTCATATTTATGATGGTTGCAGTGTCCCAGGGCCATGTGATCACCTTCTGCAACCTTTTGACCTGCAAAGTCAATGGGGAAGCCAGATTCACTTAACAACCATGTTACTAACTTAACAACTGGAGTGATTCATTTAACAACTGTGGCAAGAAAGGTTGTAAAAAAGGGCAAAACTCACTTAACAACTGTTTTGCTTAGTGACCAAAATTTCGGGCTCAATTGTGGTTGTACGTAAATGGAGGGAAAGAGGTGTGTGTGTGTGTGTGTGTGTGTGTGTGTATGTATGAATGTATGTTTTCTTAAGTTTTCGCGGGTACTTACATGTATGGTATTCAGCTTTGTTCGGGTATTTTTCCACGTCATTGTAGTTGTGCTTTTAAAGTTGTAGCAACGTTTCGGCAGAATCTCATCTGCCATCATCAGGCATCTCATCTGCCATCATCACAATACAGAAGCCTGATGATGGCAGATGAGACGTGGGAAAATACCCGAACAAAGCTGAATACCATACATACATACATACATACATACATACATGCGTGCGTGTGTGTGTGTGTGTGTGTGTGTGTTTTCATAGATTTTCATGGGTACAGGCATGTAGGTCTAGGTGTGTTCGGGTCTTTTCCTGAGTAAGATTAAGACTATCTTGGCGACGTGCCCTGCCACATACATTGGACAGACCAATAGAAGAATAAGTACCCGCCTGGATGAACACAAAAATGCAGTAAAAAAGCTGGAACACACTTCCTCACTAGTCCAACACATGAAAGCAACAGGTCATAGCATCGACTTCAATGGCACCCAAACCCTAGCCACTATAAAAAAAACCAGCCACAGAATTATCAGAGAAGCCATAGAGATTGAAAAAAGACCTGAAAGCATGAATAGAAGAGATGATTCCACCAGACTGTCAATTATTTGGAAGCCTGCACTCACAAACGAAAAAATCTCCACACCACAAGCCAGGCAAACACCTGGGCACAAACAGATCCCCCCTGATACCTCCAGCTCAAACACACCCCAACCAGGCACCCAGATGAAATCTATCTTCCTAATAAATGATAGCCATCCGTTTACTGGGAGCCAAGCTGCACTAAAAGCCTCCAATACAGGAAACACAATGTTGCCAGCCAATCAAGACAAAAAAAGCCACAAAACAGACAGAAGAAATTAGAAACACCAATCAACCAGAACACAGCAAACTCCATGACCAATAAACACAGACCAGGACTCCCAACCAATCAGGATGAAGAAAAAACCATTCTGGCACAGCACAGGCTAGCACCAAATTTAAAACAGGAATGGCTGTGAAAGCCTGAGTCACAGACACAATACAGAAGCCTGATGATGGCAGATGAGATTCTGCCAAAACGTTGCTACAACTTTAAAAGCACAACTATAATGATGTGGAAAAATACCCGAACAAATTTGAATCATGTATGTATGTATGTATGTATGTATGTATGTATGTGTATGTATATGTATATGTATATGTATATGTATATGTATATGTATATGTATATGTATATGAAATATGTTTGTATATATAAGGCACTGAAAAAGCAAAAGTGACGATATGTATGCACTTAGTAGTTAATAATGCTCTTTTGAAAACGTTTTCACTGCTGAAAGAAAAAATCCCAAAGTGCTACTGTTCTGTAATCCTCTTTATTCTTCTCTTTATTAAACTGGTTTCCTGGGAAGGTGTTTGGAGTTTTCAAGATCCTTAAACCCATGGGAGAAAAATGTACAAGGATACCTTTATTCTGTGCAAGATTTTGGTAATATCATTCTTTAACAACACTTCAAAATAGGAGAAAATAGCCCAATTTTGAAGAGTCTGAAGAGTATTATATAGGGGTAAAAGGCAAGGTTTAAGTAAGGCATCCTTTTGTTTCCTATCACGCACCCAACCTACTTTTCAAATGTAGGAAAGGGCCCGTATGTCTGGTCCCACTCACTAAAAATGTGCTTTGTGAGCCAAATGCAGTTTGTGAGACTTGGGTTCCCACCTCTGATCTAAGGAATGTCCCACTTGGGAAACCTACAAGAGTGAAGGAACTGGACACTCCTAATTCATCCCATAACTCCATTCCAGATTCATGAAGTCATCTGTAGAATCCTAGAAGCACAAAAAACAGCACACCTTGATCTCTCAGCACCAAATCTTTATTGAATCCTAGTTATGAAGTGACAGCTTTAAAAACTGACCGGGAAAGCATGAGGGAGCAGAGTCTCTTTAAGATCCAGTTTGATCTAGTGTGTGAGGGCAGCAGGGTAGAAACCAGGAGACTGTGAATTCTAATTCCTCCATAGGCATGAAATCTAGGTAACTGACTTTGGGCTAGTCGCACAGTCTCAGCCCAACCCACCTCACAGGGTGGTTGTTGTGGGGAAAATAGGAGGAGGAAGTAAGGCTACATATGGTATAGGTATAATGGTGTAGGGCCGTGATGGCAAGATTTCATTTTTCCTAATGACTTTATTGAAATGGGTACCAATAACCTTCTTCTTTCCCATCTTTTTGAATAGCCAAAATTTAATCCGGTACAGGTAAGGCAATAACAGTCCACATGAATATCTGTGGTAGTCAACAATAGTTAAACTGACTTATAAATAAATTTTACATTTCTTAAAAAAAAAAATAACAAACCAACCAACACAGAAGAAAGAACAAGTTTTGATTTCCTCATCACTTCTTTTTTGTTTTTTACTGTGATAATTAACAACTTTCTCCCACTGAACTGATGCTGGTTTTGATTTTTAAAATCTCTGTAATTCATTTCAAACCTGCATTTAACAACATGGCTTCTTTCCCCATCTGGAACCTGTACCTCCTCTGTTCTCCAAAGTGCTTATTAACATAGCCCCAAAAACTATAATTATTGCTTCAGTCCCAACTACAGATGCACAAATAGTGTAAGTCTAGTCTGTTTTATTGTCTGCAGTAATGGGGCGTTTTTGCAGTGGTTGGTCTCTGTTTTTTAAAAAATCACACCCATTTGCATTTGTGACATTCCGTAACACATAAAGATTTTGTACACAACTTTCCTGGTATACGTAATATTTACATTTTACTTCATTTATGTTTTTAAGTGCAGATTTATCTGAAGTTTTTTTTCAAATTACATATAGCCTTTTTCTTTTTGTAACCTAATGGCTCCACATTTTATAACATTTTTAAGGTGCAAGTCTTTGAAACACGTCCCTCTCAACCAAATAAGAGTTTTGTGGAAACTTTTGACCAGAGAAAGGTAGATAGTTGTTGAACCCCTGTTTTTGCAGCTTTTATCTAATCCTTCATAAAGATGTGGCAGATGTCTTTTACAAGCAGATGTTGTTTCAAACAGCCTCACTTTCAGGTCTTAAGTTTCTCTCTACCCCTTTCTCTTGAAACCTGGGAACCAGGGGAAACTCAGATGATTTCTCTAGATTTCAATTGTACAGTGTTTTTTTCACACATTCATTAAATGTTATCCTGGTAAAGCTGTCCAGTTGCCATGGTAACTTAGGCATTGTTTGTGGGCAAGGCAAAGAATGAAAGGTGCAAATCCTCTGTTATTGTGTATCTGTTCAGTTACACACAAAAGTAAGAAAGGGTTAGTTAGCCTCCAGTATGTATATATGCATCAATGTAGATAGGTAGATACATGAATGGCTATATAGATAAATGGGCTTTCCTTGCTTTAAACATGATTAGGAAAGAATGCTTTAGACCAGCGGCCTCCAACCTTTTGGGCACCAGGGACCAGTTCCATGGAGAAAGGTTTTTCCACAGACCAGAGGAAGCATGGTTTGGCATGCTGCTTGTGTCCCGTAAATGGGGCTTGACTTGTTTTCACAGCCCCGCTTTCTGGTATGCTGTGGCCTGGTATTGGTCCATGGACCAGAGGTTGGGGATCCCTGCTTTAGTCTTATTATGTGAGCTTGCACCTCTCTTGTATTCATTATCCTAGTCTAAGATATCCAAAATTTTAATCTGAGACTGGGAAAAAAGCTGCATCTGCATCTTAACTTTAACCAACTGCAGTTCATTTCAGGCACATAAAAGATCTGTACTACCAGTTCTGAATAATTGTCAAAACGTGCATTGCCTACAAATTGAGGTGCAAACGAATGGCATATATAGCAATAACATTTAGACTTATATACTGCTTCACACTGCTTTACAGTCTTCTCTAAGTGGTTTTACAGAGTCAGCCTATTGCCCCCAACAATCTGGGTCCTCATTTTACCGACCTCGGAAGGATGGAAGACTGAGTCAACCTTCAGCCTGGTGGGATTTGAACTGCCAGCCTGCAGGCAGCCTGCAGTACTGCATTCTAACCACTATATCTATAGGTCTGTATTAAAGTAAAATAATTGATTTCATTCAACTGTGGCGTAAATGTGTTGAAGTTCAGGTTCAAAAAATAAAATTGTCTTTTGAGTTAAGCTAAATTCCTAGTGATTTACTTGGACATATATCTATGTAGGCTTCCCCCCGCCCCACATGGTAGAGCAAGTGGGGTGCTAATGAGGATTGAGGTTAATGGTTGTCAAGCTAGGGAGAAAGGTTCGGTAAATTTTCACAGCTGCCTCCCCGCCCAAGACCATCAAGATAATAGCCAAGTACCTAGTAACTCAGAAGGTCAGGAAGAAAAGGCCTAGTCTTTAAACATTTCAGTTTAAATATTTGTATGCTGATCTATCTCTAGAAAGGACATTTTTCAGCAGGAAAACATAAAATAACACAGTCATTAATACCAATGCAGGAATACAGATAAATATGTATATACAGTATAAACATCCATTAAAAACTGAACAGTAATTTCCAAATGGATCAGACAGTGTTAATTGTCTTCTTTTTTTTATTATTAAAAGTTTTTATTGATTTTAACGACAAACAAAAACACAAAAAACATAAAACATAACATAAAAAACATCATCATTCTTCATATATTTACAGACAGTGTATCGGTTGGTTTACCACTCCCTTTTGTGCATCCATTTCATAGTCATCATAATAATTATGTTACATAATAACTCATATTATCAATCAACAATTATATATCCTAATATCATTATTAAACAATCATTTGACTATAATTTTACTAATTCATACTTAAG